GGCGCCAAGCTGACTGAAGTTTTCATAACAGTTACAAGTTACGGTCATGGGTCAGCGTACGTATGTAATTACAATAATTTATTCTGTTGTTTTAAATGGATTTTAATATAAATAATGATGATCATTGATGCGCTACAAGTACAAGTAGGGTCCGGGACTCTAGGGCGTAAGACTCTAGGGCGGCGCCCTACAAAACAGGACTCTAGGGCGTGAAAAATCTTGGGCGTGAAAAAAACAGGACTCTAGGGCGTGAAATATTGTTTTTTCTAATTTTCTGCGTCTATGAAGTCAGCTTCGTGGTTGTTTGGAATTGCAGGTGTCTCCGTGAGGCTCAAACCCTTGGTCCAGATTCACCCCTTACAGGATCATGCTTTCTTCACACATCTCCAAATCTGTGACCCATCTTTTCTTAATTTTCCATCTGGAGAGTACCGGAATCCTAGGTGCAGTGCGTTCTTACTCTTGGCCGTTCTTCCTCTGATTAAAGTAAACGAAAGATCGGACATAGTGTAGTAGGAAACAAATGATAATGAATTAATGATGGGATAGATCACTAGATCATGTTTTTATTGTTATTGTTTTGATTATAAACATCTTTCTTTACTGTACAGGGTGTGTTGGTGAGCTTTTATAATTTGACAATAAAATGTTGGTGACTGACAGCTTCCCACCTCTAAGACACTAGCTATCAGTATTGTTTACATTTAAAGTTTATCATTATGTATGGGACCGGGACTCTATATTATATATGTATATAATATCAAATATGCATACTATAATAGTACAGTATTGTTTTGAAATAAGTTTAATCCGCTTTCGTTATGCTCAGTCAGTGTTACATTTCATTGGCTGTATCTTAGGTCGAGATAAATACTCCATGTGAACCTGTGACAACGGACATCCTTATTAAAAATGAAATTAGATTCATTTTGATCGAAAATATAAAAATTATATTTCACGCCCTAGAGTCCTGTTTTTTTCACGCTTTAGATATTTTCACGCCGAAGAGTCCTGTTTTGTAGGGCGCCGCCCTAGAGTCTTACGCCCTATAGAGTCTTACGCCCTAGAGTCCGGACCCCGTACAAGTATAACATACTAATTTCACGTTATGTTGTGAGTTATCGGTGCAACAACCGATTTGTTTCATTGTTGCTCAAATTAAACATTAAAGAACGTTTACAGCGAATGTATGAAATATTTATGATAACATAATCTTACAAACCATGCCCCGTACAAGTATGTCAATTTTACAATACCACTGAGTCTTACCAAATAAAACTATTTGTATTAGTACAGTTTATTAACTTAAAGATGGCCTGCTACGTCATGACTGTTGCAAAAGAAGGGGAGACAATATAACGTTTCCTTCTATAATTGTTCGATCACGCGACCCTAGCACCTGTGCCACCCACACCCCAACTCAAAACACGTGAATAGTTTTTATCCAACGCGAAACAACTCCTGCGCCTCAGACTATTTTATTCAGACATCATCATGCCGCGCGGCTTTTCAAACACTGTTTAAAATATTCTCTGCGCGACTGACGGCATACATTAGAAGCTTTATTTTTATATTCACACGCAAACATGATAAAGGCAACCTTTCCACTTCCTACCTCGTAGGGGCCAATAATGTAGAATGAAGAAACATTATTAATAATTTTTGCAAACATAAATTTAAACGATCGACAAAAGGTAATGCCTACGGTCGATGGAAATCTAGCGTCCGCAAACCGGCGCAATTCTTGTTAGATAGTAAATTTAATCTTAAATGTGATAATCTAGAATAAAAAGTGACAGTGATCTGATTTTTTAACGGTGGGCACTTTTCAGGCCTAATGATCAGCTTCGGCGGCGCGGCACCTTGCGGAACAAACATCAGTGATCTGTGCAGTTTCCTATTGTATCACGTTGTGACAGCCACGGTCGTTTCACTGTATCGTCCTGATGATACATTGATCCTAAATTATAGTTTATTATTTGTAGTAAACTACAAACAAAATTAAAACTCTTGGCAAAAAATCTTGGGGGAGGGGGGGGGGGGGGGGGGGAGGGGGGAAATTACGGCCCTGCTATTGTAAAGCAAGATTGTTGCACTCAGAAGTTTACCAAGAAAAACTCTATATAAAATATGAACTCTTACCATAACAATGAGAAGAAATTATTTTACAAATGCACAAACAAGAATACTAGGATACAAAGATACAAGGATACAAAAATGATATTAAATATATTATTAAATTTTCAAGTACATAGACATTAAGTTGGAATACGGAAAATGTCTACTCTTGGCTTTCTCTACCGCTGGATACTTTCATAGATGACGATAATACATATTTCAAACTATATTGAGAATTTTAGAAAAAATGGTTTAGTTGGTCTGAAAACAAAACATAAGCACAAAACATAAGGTGTACAATGTACATGATATTTTATTCAACTACATATGAGAAGTGATTTACTTATTAACCTGCTCTAAGGGAGTGTTCTTCAATCGTTATATCTACTTTACCTCCAGATGATGACTAGTGTTGTCAGGCAGTGATGGTCTATACTCTATACCCTACTATCTTCATTACAAGATAAACAGCATAGCTACTCATTTAACTCAAATATCGATTTCTATCTAGTCCATTTGGAGAAGTTGGCATTGGGATTGCATTCGCCCAGTGACTTGTTCTGGTTGAAAATGATCACAGTTGCTTGTCATTTATCCCTCAAAAAATTACCCCCTGCTGAGGGCACTATAACCTGCTGAGGACCCTATAACCTGCTGAGGACCCTATAACCTGCTGAGACCCTATAACCTGCTGAGGACCCTATAACCTGCTGAGGACCCTATAACCTGCTGAGGACCCTATAACCTGCTGAGGACCCTATAACCTGCTGAGAGCCCTATAACCTGCTGATGGCCCTATAACCTGCTGACGGCCCTATAAACTGCTGAGAGCTCTATAACTGCTGAGTGCCTTAAACCTGGTGAGGACCTATAACTGCTGGAACGGCCCTATAACCTGCTGAGAGCCCTATAACCTGCTGAGGACCTTATAGCCTGCTGACAGCCCTATAACCTGCTGACGGCCCTATAACCTGCTGAGAGCCCTATAACTGCTGAGAATCCCCTTACCTGTGTGAGGGGCCCTATAACCTGCTGATGGCCCTATAACCTGCTGACGGCCCTATAACCTGCTGAGAGCTCTATAACCTGCTGAGAGCCCTATAACCTGGTGAGGACCCTATAACCTGCTGACGGCCCTATAACCTGCTGAGAGCCCTATAACCTGCTGAGGACCCTATAACCTCTGCGGGACCTATACCTGCTGAGAGCCCTATAACCTGCTGAGGACTCTTTAACCTGCTGAGAGCCCTATAACCTGCTGACGCCTTATAACCTGCTGACGGCCCTATAACCTGCTGAGGACCCTACAACCTGCTCACGGCCCGATTGACATGCTGACGGCCCTATAACCTGCTGGACGGCTATAACTGCGAGCGCCCAATAACCTGCTGAGGACCCTAAAACCTGCTGAGAGCCTATAACCTGCTGAGTCCTATACCTGCTGGCGCCTATACTTGCTGAGGACCCTATAGCTTGCGTAAACAGCCCATATAAACCTGCTTGACGGCCCTATAACCTGCTGAGCGCTCTATACCTGTGCGAGCCCTATAACCTAGCTCGAGGGACCCTATAGCCTGCTGACAGCCTATAACCTGCTCTGAGGGCCTATAAAAACCTGCTGACGGCCCGATTACTGCTGGAGCCCTATTAACCTCGTGAGAGCCCTATAAACTGCTGACGGCCCTATAAACTGCTGGCCGGCCCTATAAACATGCTGGAGCGCCATATAAACTGGTGAGTGCCCTATAACTGCTGACGTGCCCTATAAACCTGCAGAGAGCCCTATAACCTGCTGACGGCCCTATAACCTGCTAAGGACCCTATAACCTGGTGAGGACCCTATAACCTGGTGAGGACCCTATAACCTGCTGACGGCCCTTTAACCTGCTGAGAGCCCTATAACCTGCTGAGGACCCTATAACCTGCTTGAGGGCCCCTATAACCTGCTGACGGCCTAGACCTGCTGACGGCCCTATTAAAACTGCTGAGGGCCCTAAACCTGCTGAGGGGCCCCTATACCTGCCTGGGGCCCTATAACCTGCTGAGGGCCCTATAACCTGCTGACGGCCCTATAACCTGCTGAGAGCCCTATAACCTGCTGAGGACCCTATAACCTGCTGGAGGACCCTATAACCTGCTGAGGGCCCTATAACCTGCTGAGGGCCCTATAACCTGTTGAGGGCCCTATAACCTGCTGAGGGCCCTATAACCTGCTGAGGGCCCTATAACCTGTTGAGGGCCCTATAACCACGGTCATTGTAAGACTACGACGGCGACCCGGCTCATCAGTGGCCTATCTCTGTAAGTCAGTCGGTTAGCAATTCCGATATTTTGCAAATATAACACATTAATCTCACATTTACCTTTTTACTTCCACACGAAGAAACTGTAACCACATTATTTTTACTTTCATTTTATTTCCAAAAAATGTGCTGTCTAGTTGATAGGATCAGAGAAAAAAACTTTACAGAGATACCATATTGAGTTTCCTGAATAACATAACATCATTTAACGTTTCAAAAACCAACGTTGGATTAAGGTAAGCAGAATGTCGGAGTAGGATTTAAAAGGACACGTTTTTTGTTAAGTATGCTTCAAATTGAGAAAGACAAGCACTTGTTTTGACCCACCTACGAGTTAAAACCACCAAATGTAACTGAACATGATCGATGCAATTTAGCCACAACAAAATTTGTAGCATATTTTATCACTCATTTCTTATAGATATTGTTAGCGATTTGCTGTTCGAATTTAGTACTATTTATCAAAACTTACTATTTCAAATCTGCTGTCACCTCAAAACTGTGAACCTGGAAAGCTGTTCAGAAGTCCCTGTAAAATATAAGACTGACAGAGGGTTGAAGTTATATATGATAACGATGTTACATTAATCGTAGGATGATAGAGTTGTCATGGTAACGTGAGATGCTACATGGGGAAACACCTACTGATTGCCTGCGCAGTGGGAGACTTACAGTGGCTTCAACTCTGCGTGGAAAAGGGTGCAGACCCAACATTTGTTAACAATGAGGTAATCTATTTTAATTTGTTAACAATGAGGTGATCTATTTTAATGAGGTCATTTATTTTAATTTGTTCAGTTTGTATTATGTTAATAAAGCTATGGCCAGTAAGTTCTTAAAAATGTTCCATTTGTAATTTAATTTGAGAGGTAAATATGCGATGTTATCAAGCACGTTATCAACATTAAAACCTATTCGAGTATGTGATTTCCTCTGAACCTCTTAGACTTTGTTGTGATTATCTAACGCAAATAAGTTAAATAATTCAAATACTTTCAAGTTGAATTGCAAACTTGTTGAGCCTTCAAGTGCATGCCATTATTCAAGTGTATATAACTAAGTTATTAAACAATAAACAAGTACAATATTTATTCTAATTCTAACGAGATTTTCATAGTTCGCCTGTTCATCTTGTGACATTCATTACTGGACCGTGTCTCAGAAGTGTGTACAACCCTAGGAGACCAGTGGAGGTCGTGATATTGCATGTTTTATTATCTGGAGGGATAATTAAATTGTCCTGGTGTAAGAAGTATTTAGAGTGACGTGTCAGAAATGAAGGAAGTTTAGCTGTCACACAATAACTAAGAAAACGTTCATTTTTTGTGCACTCGGTATGTCGCTTACATGTTGAAAGTTTGTGGGGGTCCGCGAAAGTTTAACTGACGGCTAAGAAGTCCAGAGAGTTCAACATTCAGCCCCTATTTGTAATTCACACTGTGTATAAGATTCCAATCCAAGCCTTCATTCGAAGCTTGAATACTGTTCAAAATACTGATTAATGATACAAAGTGCGGCTTAGCTCTACTTATCAATCGCATGACCACCATTAAACTTTTAGACAGATCATAGAATGCGATTTGATGACTCTTTTATCATTCGACAATCCTAAGTAGCGCTCATTAACGTTGCAACATGATGCTTGATTTTTTGACATGATACTATATTCTAGAGTTGTCCGACATTTCTCTTATGTTTGTGTCGACCTGGTCAAGTTTGTTTTTTGTAAACACAGTCGTGTTGAACTGCGCTAAACACTTGAACCTTGACCGTCAGGAACCTTCAGCCTCAACATTGACCTTTATATTGCCTAGGTGATATCGGATAATAATTCAGAATATTACCGCCTTCACACCCGTACTGGTATAATAGAGCCCTCTAATTTATTAGCGTCGTCCTGGTGCTGTTACCCCACTACAAACCTGGACATCTTCCTCTCTACTTCTGTAGTCACAGAGATATGAAACTTTATCTATCTCTACTAACTACAACAATTCTATTTTCTTGTAGATGTCACCCGGTCTAAGTTTATTTTCTCGGTGCCAGATCGCAGCGAAAAGTCTAATAACTCGATTACAACAACTAGTCACGTGACATAATCCCGGCCTTATCATTGGTTCCTGCTGTGCCCTGTGATATTCGTGCAACTTAGTTGTCATGGCAACCATTATATAACATGCTCCACCGTGCTGTGCTCTGTGCAAGGCTCTCGCATTAAATAGATTGTCAGGAATAAGGGAACCAGGATAGTGTACATTAATTTCAGATTGTAGAGCTCAATTCCCAGACAAATTCCCGATTAGAGAATACAGGTTGCTGCGCTGATGTTCCATTAATGGTGATATTTAATGGATGGAAGGTCAAAGTAAATCCTACACAAAGAGAATTATGCACAAAACAGTCGCCGAGAGATTTCACAGCGATTTACGATATAAGTTTCCATCATACACACAATATTATGTCGATAAGTAATCTCCCTCGAATCCAAAGATTTAATTTTGACCACATTGTTTTAACTCAACATAATAAAGTTCATGAGTTAAATAGTTATTCAATTCGCATTGAAACTACCTGATTTGCACGGATATCTGCCGACTGCCGTCGTTAACTTTGAGACTAACAATTTTACCATTAGTATATATCGAGATTCTACGACACAATATGTGGTATCGAAGAAAGATCTAACATATCGTAACATGTATCTGTGTGATGTGTATAGCTAGCTTAGAAAGAATAATTTACTTTTTAGTAAACTCGAGATTCTACGACACAATATGTGGTATCGAAGAAAGATCTAACATATCGTAACATGTATCTGTGTGATGTGTATAGCTAGCTTAGAAAGAATAATTTACTTTTTAGTAAACTGAGAATATTCCAGGGTTGGAGTGCTCTCCACATGGCGGCTATGAACGCCAAGCTGAACTGTTTGCAGTTCCTTATTGACAACCTCAAGATTGATGTGGATATAACAAGTGAAACGGGTTAGAACTTATCTCTAGCTTATTTTACTTTAATTACTGATAGTTGGATAATATCCGGTTGAATTACTTTCATTAATTAAACAAATCTTAAATTCATTCTACAATTTGTTAAATGAATATTCTCCTGATAAGCTGCCAGTCATGGGTGATACGGTCCCTGCATATATCTCAGGTTGAGTACCTGTTGTCATAAACCTCTTTAAAAGTATCAAATTACAGAATTTCCAACTTATTAGATTACATTACAAAACAAAGGTTCTGCACGACACGTTGATTTTAAAGTCCCCTTATTGTTCAGGTTGGACCCCACTCCATTTAGCGAGCAGAGCTAAACCTGAGACTGACGCATTGGACTGTGTTACCTTCCTTCTCAATGAAGGAGCAGATGTTAATAGGTTTGTGAAAGTGAATTGTGTTCATACTGATTCCCTAAAATATGGGTCACATCTCTTCTCAGAAAAATGTATGAATCTCGGTTGTCATGGAAACAATGAAACTTCTGTTTAATGAGTAAATTCTTTACCAAAAACTGATCGGTTCTTATTAATAAATCAAGTTGTTATTAATTAGTGAGAAGTGGCGGTATCATGGCATGTTATTCTACTTCTTCCTGATCCCTATAATTCCTTTCTCACACCACACTGTCCAAACAACAATATGACAAATTGTTGAACCACCATATACTAATTGTAGTTCCAAATTAATTTGATTTGATACGTATGAGATGTACAGCAGTATAGGTACTACTGAGTGAACCCTTGTGAAAGGAAAAACATTATTAAGTTCGTGTTCTGTTTACAGAAATGCCATTCAGCATGAGTCTCTATATTTAGTTAAGCTATTTCCATGCAGAGCAATTGACATTAAATTATGGTACAAAAACCTTTCAATTTCGCCATATTTAGGCTCGGATCAACTTTTACATGTCATTAGAAATTTTCTAAAGAATTTTATTTAACCGCTTCCGGCTTCTCCGAAGTACAAAGATTTTATAATTCGGATTTTGCAACCTAATAACTAGGGTCAGTATCTCGTTTTCGCCCACTCATGATACATACTCGAAATTTACCACTTCACGTGTTTCAGAGCAAACGAAATGGGCATAACCAGTGTGCACCAAGCTGTCTCAGCGAACAACCTCAAGTGTCTCTCTACTCTCGTAAAGAACGGAGCGAGAGTCGCTTGTACGGATAAGCGTGGACTCCAGCCAATTGATGTCGCAAAGGTTCGGGTGTAGCATATTACCTGACATCCAGCATGCAATCCTGCTCACGCCAATAAATCAACACAATAGTGATAATGTCTAATGATGATGAAACCACCGCAGCGATTTAAGAGCATGTGGGCGGAGAACTTCGTTTTACGGAGCACGCGAGCGACTTACTGCAAATTTGTAATAACTTTTTCATAAAAACATTTTCTGTGACAAAATTGCGCCGCGCGCGCGTAATTGTCCAGCCAGCTCGCTAGCTTCACCGCAGCTCGAGCGTGGTCATTCTTAAACCATGCAGTATTAATGATAGTGGTCAAGTTTATCACGAATTTGCTCCATGAATGTTTGCACTATTAGGGATAGACACTCCTTTAATCTCAATAATAATTTAAAGCTCATGCTAAAGGAGCGTTAATAGCACTCAAATTATTCTATTTCTTCGTACCATGCTAACAAATTCATTTTCAGGTATGGGGGCATTCCGAGTGCTCAAAGTATCTCGAAAATGTGATGTGGTATGAGAAGAAGCGAGAAGAAGAGTCGACGAGAAGAAGGTGGGTCTTGGAGCACAAAAAATTACTGGACGAGGAGATAAAGAAATATGCCGACGCAAAACGATCGGACAAAGTTCATCATGCATACAAATCTTGGATTGATAAAAAGAAACTTGGCAGTCCAAAACTTCCTTCTCATTCTGAGGCAAGAGCTCGTCCACTCACGTGTTACAAGGAAGAAGTTATTCACGATTTCCACCGTAAACAGTTATCTAAGAAGATTCAAGAGAAGGTGAGCAGTCCAAGACCTCGTCAATTTAGTCCTAGACTTCAACTTGAGAGAGTTAAGAAAATACAGGAGCTGAGAAACACGATAACATCGCGTGATATTATGGGACAATCACGTGACGAATCACCGGTAAAATCGCGTGACGTTCCGAAAAAAACACGCGACGTCACCATTAAATCTCGCGACGTCGCAATAAAATCACGCGACGTCACCATCAAAACACGCGACGTCACGTTAGAACCTAACAAGGTTGTTTCCAACTCAACTGTCACTGCACCTGCTCCTAGGGGTATTGATAACATAACCCGACCGTCCGTAAAATCACCCGAGGAACTCAAACCAGGAATAAAATTAAGTACCAAGTCAAAAGAAGACGAATACTATCACCAATACAGAATCTCTAAATTAGCAGAGCCTAAACAGCCTTGTAACCGGAGAAAACGCCGGAAGAAAAAGTCCCTCAAAACATCACCAGAGGAGCCACTCTACTATCCTGTTAGAATAGATAACTACTTCTCTCCTTCCTCTTCCACCCCCGACTCTGGGTACGTGGAGGAACCAGTCAGCCCACCTCCTGAGGAGACCGACTCTCTTAAAGTTGACGAGTTTAATGAACTTGACATTGTTTCGGTTGATTCTGAAGAATCTCAGATCCCGGAAAAACTGGTTAAGGAGGCTAGTATTGTTGACGTCGGAAATAAGTCAGTCCGGTTCAGTGAAAATGTCTTTTATGATACGGAGCATAATTCAGTGTCTTTTGGAAATACGTTTGAACATTTGCGCAGCTGTATTAAAGCTAAGAATATACATTGAAATTGAATGCCATAACTTGATTATGAAGATGTTGTTATTATGAAAATTCAATTTTGAAATTTATTCGAATTAAATGGTTCTTCTGATTCTTCTACGGTTATTCTTACGTTATCTAAGAACTCAATCATGGCCTATCGATCGCTCCCACAAACATTCTAAAAGCTCTCAAGTTTTTATACCTATAGCCATGATACGAGTCTTGTTTGTTTTTTTGTTTATAGAACCCGTCCCCAATCTCGTATTGGAAAACGACTAAACTCAATTCTGAGTGTGAATACGGATGGAACCTCTGTTCATTAAGCATTTAGACTTAGAGTTCTGTAAAACTGCAGTTACAATTATTATTGTGCTAAAGTATTTTTAGTATTTTTTGATGCGATAAAAACTGACTACCAAAGAATACTATTAGCTTCCTCCCTGTGTCCACGGGCTTTCTAGTCTATATTATAATTCAAAGAATTATTTCTGTTGAATGTCTGTCTGTCTGTACGACTGCCCACGTACAAATTAGACGAGAAATAGGAAGTTGCATAGTAACCATGGTAACAAGCATTGCTACACGCACGTGCACGTGCAAAGATTTGCGAGCGAAATTTTAATCGGTTTTGTGGTAATTTCTTTGTGTTCAGTGCGAGCTACATTTCATCGGCTGTATCTTCGGTTGTGACGGATAATTTTTGGTGCGATAAAAACTGACTACCAAAGAATACTATTAGCTTCCTCCCTGTGACCACGGGTTTTCTAGTACTTTCATAATATGAAGTCAAATCGCAGGTCCCAAAAAAGGTTTTGGTGTATGTCCCCTTAAGCGTTCATACACGACACATCTTACAACACTTACCATCCAATATTACACATTCTGATTCCTCCGGCATCCTCCCATAGGACTGCCATGCCCCAGAGGTAGTGATCAAAGCATCCACATGCTAACCCAGGCCCAGCCTCTCTAAAAAACGTTCTTAATTCAAAATTCTCCAGGATTATAGATCTGATAATCGTCAATTTATATCTGAGTTAAGTGATAAATAGTAATTGAAGGAATGGGGGGGGGGGGGGGGGGGGGGGGGGGCGAGGGGGCGAGGGGAGTTATTACTTATGTTAGGATTAAAAAGGGGTCATGGGTTGGGTTGTCATGGCTTATTTAGGCTTTTAGGGATAGTGTATATTTACATATGATTGTGTAAATCTTTCAAATCAAGAGCTTACCGGTATCAATTTTCGGTTCGACAGCGTAACTAACAGAAGCTGTATGAGCATTTGGAAATTTGATCCTAACTGCATCCAGACCCCACTGAGCAGCACACTCTTCCAGGGTACCATCGGAGAATTTATACTCCGCAACTTCAACATTGTTGCATGAAATTACCAGACTGTCCGATCTTTCTGATATTCTCCAAGTTTTATCCTGCTCCTTTGGAATATTACCCGAGAAGCTTTCCCACTTTGATTCTTGTGAGCATCTCCCAACACGATATGCGTGGAAACATCACCTGTATTAATTTCATTACATCCCACAAGCAAGACCACAAATATGACTAACTTGAATCTCATTCTGTAAAAATATCGTTTAGCAATTTATCTATACGATCAAGATTAATGTCACGCATTTAACGACGCTATAGAAATGGTACACTACAGCTGCGGAGTACACTAAGGTAGAGAACGCTAGGGAAACTTTCCCAAATGGGGGACAATATGCGGAGCCACATAAACAACTCTGTAAACGACAAAACTGGTGCTTAAACTGGGTCCCTGGCTCCAGACCCCTGCTCTCCTCTGATACTACCTCTCCTAGGACGAGTAGGAGTAACGAGTAATGATGGTCCCGCAATGTTGGACAATAGCTGCTGAGCTGATAATATGGGGGCCCCGAAAAAGGGACGCTATTTTTAGTAGACAGGGACAGATTCTATTATTTTAGTAGTATTAAAAACTAGATCATTATCAGGTACTCTGTTAGAGCGAGGGTTGTTGGTGCTCGGTAACAATAGGTATGGTCTGCCCACAAATATTATGCGCATAACATGAGCATAACAATAACATCGGCAACGTCTTTATGGTAAAAAAGTTATATTCTGACCACAGCGCCCTGCGTGTCCCTTCGTCCAAGACAGATTCTATTATGACTTTATGATAGTCTTTTTGGTTTCGGTGACGAAGGTCTCTGCTTCAATAGTCAGAGAGGTGCCACTTGAGATAAACAAAGCTCATATTGAAAGAAGAACAGTGTGTGAGTGCTATTAGGAAGTAAGATGGTGCTGTCCAATCTTTTAGGGAAAGTGCCATCAAAGACAAAGTGAGAATGACTCTAAATTGAATTGTTTTGTAGTGAAGATTTCTGAGTTAAGAATTTGATAATTATCTCACTTTAACGGACAGTTGGCACATGGTCGGGCCCATGGCAGCAGTGTGGTTCGGGGTATTAGGGTAAGGATTCGGGTAAGGATTAGGGTGAACCTACTCAGTACTCATACGTACGAGATAGTAATGGTTACAACGATTGTCACGCGCTTGCCTTGCTCATCTCAGATTCTCAAGTTTGGCCACATTAAGAAAATCCCAGTTTCCTATTAAAGTATTAAGATCATTACCTTGATTTGCTTGTAGCTGATAGCTGATAATTGCCAACCCGTTACTCATACTGTTGATACTAATATGTTCTATAGTTACACCCATACTGATTAACGGGTGATACTTACTCGTAAAATATCTGTTCCATACAGGACCGTCGACGAGTCCAACTCGGCGCGCGTCCTGGTAGGTTGTAAACCTACAACCATACTCATAGTTTGACACCGTTCAATTCTGGGTACTGTGGTATTGAGAATACATCTATTTGCGCCGGGTCATCGCTCTTCTATATTATAATTCAAAGAATCTCTATTATAATTCAAAAGATTCTTTTTGTTGTCTGTATGTACGACCGCCCACGTGCAAATTCGGCAAAAAGCAAAAGGTTGAAAAGTAACCATGGTAACGGTTTCGTTACACGCACGTGCACGTGCAAAGATTGTTAAAACGGCATTTTTATCGGTTTTGTTGATATTACGTTGTATTTAGTGCGAGCAACATTTTAATCGGCTGTATCTTCGGTTGTGTAGGATATTTTGACGCGATTTAAACTCATTATGATTAACAAAAAATACTATTAGTTTCCTCCCTGTGACCACGGGTTTTCTAGTCTCTATTATCTTATAATTCAGAGAATTGTTTTTGTCTGTATGTACGACCGCCCACGTGCAAATTAGATTCAGAGAAATAGGAATTTGGATAGTAACCATGGTAACGATATTCAAACGCGCAAGTGCACGTGCAAAGATTTGAGAGTGGCATTTTGATCGGTTTTGTAGTAAGTTCGTTGTGTTCAGTGCGAGCTACATTTTATTCGGCTGTATCTTCGGTTGTGATGGATATTTGTTTAACGGGTGATACTCGTAAAATATTTGTTCCATATACAGGACCGTCGACGAGTCCAACTCGGCGCGCGTTTTGGTAGGTTGTAAACCTACAAATATTTGTTGATGCTATAAAAACTGACTACCAAAGATTAAGAATACTATTAGCTTCCTCCCTGTGACCACGGGCTTTCTAGTCTTCTCTACTATAATTCAGAGAATTCTTTCTGTATGTCTGTATGTACGACCGCCCACGTGCAAACTCGGTAAAAAGCAAAAGGTTGAAAAGTATTAAAGTATTAAGTAATCATGGTAACGAGGGTTGTTACACGCAGCGCACGTGCACGTGCAAAGATTGTTAAAACGGTATATTTATCGGTTTTGTTGATATTACGTTGTGTTTAGTGCGAGCAACATTTTAATCGGCTGTATCTTCGGTTGTGTAGGATATTTTGACGCGATTTAAACTTACTAACAAAAAATACTTTTAGCTTACTCCCTGTGACCACGGGTTTTCTAGTTTCCTATAAAGCAAGGTTTCTGGCTAAAGAAGATCCAAAGAGTTAAACAATAGATTGATGTCATTCCAAAAGAGTGACCTCGTATGCTGGTAGCGGTAGATATTGCATAATTGAAGTTACTGGATCGTTGCCGGATTACTGTATTACTGTAAGCCACATATTAAGCAACGTTTTCGTTATGTTTCATTGTATAATTAACTATAATTATATATACTACTCAATACGCTATAATTTCAATAATTCCATTAATTATACTTGCGACAAAGTTTGAAAAGAAGCTTGATTTTCTGGAAAGAATCTGGTTTATGCAGAATAACCTACCATAATCGTTTATGGATTCCGTACATGGTGTACCACATTTGGTTGTGTGCAGCCCGTAAAAAATCTTTTCTTTGCCACGAGTTTCAGCGTCCTACCCTAACTTTGGATATATGTTCAACTGGAGCACAAACTCAAAGGAAAACACATGTTCCACCTTACTGCCGGATCAGAATCACGTACCACCTACTGCATCAATAATTGATGGTTTCCAAGACATGGTTTGTTAACCTTTTCACGTTCGTGTTAACATGCCCTGCACATTGGACAGTGTTGTTTCCCCCAGCTGAGAGTACTAGAAAAGGAGTATTTACTGCTGTGCCACAAACAGTGCTGCTCCAAAGAGAGTCTGTAGCAGGGACAAAAGGATTTCGCGGCGATTTTGGCCAAAAATCGCGATACCGCGAATTACATTTCGCGGTATATTAAACTATACATAAAATTTGTCGCAAATAGTGGGGAAAATCGCGAATCCGTACATGCCGCGATTTCCTTTTGTCCCTGGTCTGTAGGGTTCCCCTTACCCCATATTATATATTAGGATATTACCATTATTAGGATATTACCATTATTATGATATTACCATTATTAGGATTATATTGCCATTATATTGTAATCGAATACGTCATATAATAATAGGGCACTTTCAAAAACATCAGTCACGGAAAAAATGTTAAAATTTGCCAAAAATCAGTTTTTGTGGCATAATTTGGTGAATTATTTTTGTATAAAAATATGTATTACAGAATTTTATTCAAGACAATGATAAGGAGGTGAAAAATAAGAAGGTTTCCACTCTTTTTGATAGTCAATGTTGATTGTTGAGGAAGTCTTGGTTTT